ATAACCATGGCATATAAGCCCATTCAATTGGCAATTGCCAGAGGCAGTGGCAGAGGCAGAGGCGCCAAAAGCCAAAGGCCCAAAGCCACAAATACATCTGGGGGCTTGCCTGCCGGCTCCCATGTGTAAATATTTATGCAAATATAAACAAGGGCCCGAATGGCTGGCCATGTAAATACTACTGGCCAAATGCAATAGATTAAAGCCATCCGTGCGAGGCCGTGTGTCACGTCTGATTCCGGGGAAGGAGCCCAAGGAGCACAGCCAACACGAAACGGAAGTCAAGTGGACACTTACTGCTTACCTGGCCAAACACCTGGGACACCAGACCTCCCCACGCTGATTGACAGGCCCAAAGGCCGATGTTGGCCAATGGATTTGCATTTTCAAGCACTTGAAGAAAATGTCTCATACTTTGTGTATGGAGATACTAGTAGATAGTAGTAGTAACTTATTCATTTTTTTACAGTGTAGTTGCTCCCTCTTACGGCTTAAAAGGAAGCCGTCAAGGTGCAGCCATTCGCTTTAGAAAGTTATTTGCATGCCACGCTTTAGCCAAAGCCGCTCCTCAAACTCACGGCTGATTCGCATGCAGATTTTTGATTGGCACTTGGCCGAGCGGAAGCGATCAGTATCGCTCTCACTTCAAGGACAATGGCATGTTAATTAGAGGACCCAAGCCGAACCAGGCGGTTACCCAAAAAAATATACAATATCGTATATTGCCAAAGTGCCTAACAACAACTCGCTCTACGCACCCTAATGACCCATAAACACTGGCTCAATAGGCCATATCCGCTGTCGTTGGCCAGATAACGCATTTGGGCCACGGCACCTGTCACCCTACCACCCACCTCTTGGCCATAAACTCGCATACCCACATACAAATTCTATTGATCAACAAACATTTTCGCTGGCCCCCCATTACAACAGCACAATGGCACACAACACATAGTTCATTTGGCTGTAAAACGCCGACCGTTTGGGGTGGGGTTTTTGGGATCTGGGGTCTTGAATTTGGCGGTATGGGGGAGTCTCGAGGTCCGGCCCCACCCTCTTTAATTCTCCAGCTCCCTGACCCAACCCAAAAACGAGCTGGCTTGCGTTTAAAGCAAACGTTAAGGGCAAACTTTTAATTAGAAAGCAAGTACGGTCAGCTGCTAAATGGCGATGGGGAGCAGGGATGGGGGCAGGACGGTGTAGCAAATACGGAACTATGGAAGGGAATAATTCATTTCATGTGGAATTCCTGTATATAAAAATGCACTGAGCAAAAAAAGGAATTTAATTAAGAAATATAATCAAATATAATTTTAATTAAGAATGTCTGTGAAGGTATGTGTCCTCAGGTTATTTGCATATTTTTTTTGTATTTCTCTCAGTGCCTGCGTGCCTGGCTAGTGGCAGTGAATTTTCCGAGCCAGTGCACCCAGTGCATGTCAGAGCCCAATAACGGAATTGAACGCACAATAGTTGGCAATCAACTGAGCTGAACTGGGGTAGGTTAGGGTCATTCCACGCATCAGGGAATGGCTGCAAGTCGGTAGGATCTGCTCCCAGCTCCCCAGATCTTGGTGCTCCTGCTGCCCTCCACATCCCAGATGATAAATCGCTGGCTGACATCGCTGGCATCTGCATGTGTCAGCCGCTCATTAAAAAGGTATTCATCATTATCGCGACCGCCGCGCTGCAGTTGTCGCACCCAAAGTGAAAATGCCGCCAAGACGACACGAGATGGGGCAAGGCAGGCAGCGTCTTTGTGGCAGCATGTCTGCTGTCACAATCCATTCCGGCCGAAGGGGTGCGGATTAAGTCTGATGTTTTTATTAATTTTACTCTATTAAAGATTCCCTTAGTTTAAAACAAATTAATGTTGATTTAAAGCCAAGTATAGATGCCCGCCCGGAGATCATAAAACAAACGTGTTTGTATGCAAATCTAAACGATTTGAGTTACTCTAGGAAGTAAAGTGTAGTTATTATTAAGACTTTTATTTATAGAAATGATTTAGCAAGCTGTTGGGTAAGTTTCCAATTAAAATTGAATTAGCTTGGCTATCAAGTTACAGGGTATTGCAGCTTCGTTGGGAACCTGGACATATGGAGCACAAAATACGAGTGCAATTGTAATTTTCTTGCTTTCTTTTCTCCACTCATATCGCTTTTATTTTTTCTGATTGTGAAATTGTTCAATAATTTTCTTTTTCTTGGCCTGTCTGTCGCCTTCGTCATCTCGGCCCTCTGAGCTCTGAGAGATGCAAGCCAGATATGCGATATGTGCGCCACTTTGGCTTATGATGGAATTGACACTTTAGTTTTTGTGACACATACGAAGTGCGGGCTGGCGGGATGACGGGATGAAGACGCCCATCACAAACAGACACTGGCACTGATACACGGAATACCCTCACTCACAAGCCCCCACTACCCATAGAGGGAAGTAACATTCAGATGGTAGATAGTAGTGGAGGCAGACGCACTTGAAATGCATAAAATGGCATTTTCTTTTGTTGTGTGCAATGAATGCCTCTCTGCCTTTGGTGGTGGTGGGTGTTTTTATTTTCATTCCATCTTTTTTTTTTCACAGTCCCCACGCCCCAGGCGGACGAAGAGGGATTCGCTTTTATGGCCAAGTGGAGATGGAGTTTGGGAGATGCGTTTGTTAGCACTAATGGCGCATTTATGAGCGTATAGCCGCCCATGGGCCCATGGGGTTGCGAGTGCGGGTCTAATAGAAAAGCTCTCACGTCCCGGTCACCCGGGGTGTGGACTATCAGTCGATCAATTTGTCCGTTTATTGTCATTTAGCTAAGTAAACTCCAATCCCAGACAAATATGACACACACTTATGGTTGAATAAACTATCTCTGGTTATTTTGCGAAACTGGAACAAGGGTAGGAGGGTTTTTATCAAATACTATGTATCACGAAAACTTTTCAGATGCGCATTTCCGCTAATTGCCGCAACAGCCCCCGAGGCGAAGCCCTTGCCTTGGTCTGTTTTGTATTGTAATCTAAGCTGGAAATTGTGGAAGACGGTGGGGGGTACCATGTAGCCTACATAACAGTAAGTTCCCACTGCCGCCACCGCCTCACGCTTTGTTGCACCACATTTCCTTTAACCCATAAAACCCAGGCACATGCGCAACGCGACGAGATGTAAAAGATACTTTTGATAAGTCTGCCCCCGAGTCTTGAAATTGAGAATTCTGCCGGCGGATATATGTCTTGTTCTGGTCTGACCATCGTGGGTTGTATGTGGTTCCCGTATCAATCATAATTAGGCATCCAGTGGCTGTATATTTTGAGATACATTAATGTTTCTTGAACTCTCAGGCACACATAGGCATAATAAATCCCAATGACTGTAGTTTTTAAGTTTGTGAGAAAACGTATCTGCTGTTTACATTGCAAGAAAAATGGCATAGTATCATAGAGTCAACTCTCAAGAGAGTTAAACGACTTCCTTGTAGATCTCCAACCTTAAAGTATTAAGTCATTTTAACTTTTTAATTAAAAAACCCATAATCCTGACTAATTAAATTTAATTTAATATCCCTCCTTTTTCCTCAGTGCACTGTCTGCAGCTGCACTTGGCTTCATCCGACTTTTGTAGCCCACATCCCAGCCCATCAAAATGTTTAGTGCTTAATAAAGTGTGTTATGTGTTTTTTTGTGTAATTATTTTTAGCTTTAGTCGCGCTTGATTGCCATGTTAGGAGGGTATGGACGGGCTGAGCGGCTAAAAGGCATCGCAGGCGTTTCTAAACGAACATTTTTCATGTGTGGGCCTCAAAAAAACACAAGAGATCTTAAAGGTTTCGGGCCAAACACCGACCAAAATACTGGTAGACAGAAAACCCCTTTCCCCTTCTATAAATGTATGTATATGTAAATGAGAGTTCCACCTACAAGGTGCTTTTGGGCTTTTGGGGTTTCTATTTGCACAGGTGTTTTTAGCACCTGGGTTCATGGGTGCCACTGAGTTGTGTGCTGGGGCATTAGTTATCATCCACTGGCCGGGGCGTGTCCCTGCTAAGTGCTAAAAGGCATTCGACTGCACTTTTCTGTAATAATTATCACATCATGACTGGCAAACAAGAAAGGCCACCATTGATGGTCGACAAGAAGTTTTCAACTACCATTTTCTATTCAGAACTTGTTGGTTTGTTTTGCTGCATAGTTAATATGTTCCTCCAAAGAAGATTGAACCTCCGAGAGCCCCTAACTTTCATTTGTCTTCGTGTCTTGGCCAGTCGTGGCTTTTCCCACGAAAATCATTTCGGCAGATGGCTTTTTGATTGCCCGGGCTGCTAATTTTTGTGGCAAAGTAATGGCCCGCGAGCCAGACTCGAAATTCGAATCGCATTCGAGCATAATTCAATTTTTGCTTTTGGCTAAAAACGAAACCGGTCCGGTCTCCGAGCAATCAACTAATAATAAAGATTTTAAACTAATTGGCTCATTTAACGCAACAACAACTACTTCTTCAAAAAATCATTATAATAATGATGACGATGACTGATGACTGGTCGCCACAAAATCAGCAAAATCATGGCCTTCGGATATTGAGGAGTGAGGAGGGAGTGTTTTGTAACTTGCCAGAAATTAATTATACAAAAGTAACTTTAGCCATTGCAGTCCCCACTCCCCATTTTTTTCAATTTTTTGTCAGCGATTTTGCAAATTGAAAAAAAGGAAACCTTACTCGCCCATCCTTGGAAAAAGAAGGAACTACTTCCTCGACCAATGACCTTTATCGCGACAGTCATTAGCGAAGGAATTGGGCCAAAAAGGGCAGCTTTGATAAAGAAAGGAAGAAAGAAACACATAAAAGCTGCTGCTGGACATAATCGTCTTTTTGGGAGCCAAGAATGGGTCAATACACTGTGGGAATTTGTTGGTATAGCTAATGAAGAGGGCTGTATTGGAAGATGGTAGGTTTGGAGAACACCCCCAAATATTTTTCACCGTGTGGATTAATTTCTTTTGGGGACTTACTTGCGTGCCAGGCGTTTCCTTATTCCCGCGAACATTTTCGTTGCTCCCTTTCTGGATGGCGCGTCGCTGGCTTTATCCGCCTTTATGTTCCGTACTAATGTTGTATTGTAAATTAAATTGCCGATTTCCGGAGGGCTTTCTCCTTCTCTCTCTCTCTTTTCAGACTGGTGCTATCTTTTTCGGTCACGGCGAAAAGGGCAACACTTAAAATTAATTAAAAAAACAGCTAAAACGAGGCACGCAATTGTCGCGCAGCTTCACTTCATGTACTAGTACTTGTATTTGTTTTTTATGTTGTAGCTTCTGCTGCTGTTCATTTGGCGATTTGTTGTTGTTGTTGTCATTGGCAGCTTTGGGACGCCTCATTGCAAGAGGCTAACAAACAAACAAACAAGTTAACAAACAAAACACACAAAAAATAACGAAATGAAAATCAATTAGCCTAAGTAGGCAGCTGCAATACTGCAATGCTGGAGATTTATTTTCAATACACTCGGACGGATCGGTGGATTGTGCAATCCGTAATTCGACGGAATCAATAATCTTCAGCTGCGATCGGGAACGGTGCACATTTCCCAACCCCAGACGGACATGCTCCGCGGCACAAACACACACTTTTCCGCCCAAAGATATTTTCATTCACTTTGCTCCTCCATGTTGACAATCCCATCGGGTCTCGGTTTACGGTCTGTATTTCTTTATTTTTCGTTGGTTTTTTTTTTTTTGTTTGGGGAGCTGAAACGAACCAGAAGAAATTCACACATTATTTTCAAATTCATTTTGTGTATCAACAGCAATGAGGGGGAAAAGTCGGTTCGGGATCGGGATCGGGTGGGCCATTAGCGATTTATATAATTGACGTGTTGAGTGACAAATTCAAAGCATTTGCTGCCAACAAGACGGAGCGAATCGAATTTTTAGGGTCCGGCTTATAAGAAGTTACAGCAGCCAGAGTGTCGTAATTTCTCAGCAAAAAAAAATACATAGATGTGTCATTTATAAAGGTTATGGGATTAGTTATACAAGAAATAGATGGTCTAACTAGACAAGCCCCCATAATCTCGCCTATTAATCAAGTTTTTCTTAACAACTTTAAGGTGTTGAGTGCTTATTGAAATCCCCATTACTGACCACAAATAGACGAACCCCTTTTAAAGCTTAAATTTATGTTTTCTTATGATTTTCTGTGGTCCAACTTTTAATGGTGTTTCCTGGCTAACGAGATTTCTAATTAAATGCCGCCAGAGAACTCCTTAAGCTCCATTTGGGGAGAAGACAACTGTTTCTGTGGCCATAGGCCCGCAGAAACAAAGATTTATGGTCTGAAAATTTGATGGAAGTGAACAAAAATTTTGCAGAACTCTGGGAGGGAAAATGTCTGGCATTTGTGTGAGATAAGGTGGACTCCACTGCGACTGTTCCTCCGGAACCGAATGGGTAACATCAATCATGGCCTCAATCTGTGTGTGACCCCCAGCCCGAACGGATGCAGATGTAATTATGGCCCTGTGTTCTTTGGGGCTTCTCTCCCCTATTCCGTGCTAATGGCGTATTTGGTTACAGTTTCGGGCCGTGCACTTGGCTCAAATACGAGTGCCGGGCCAGGCAGCAGCAACAGATACTGCCACAAGATACAAACACTGCTGGCCAAGCATGACAAAGAACATGTTTTTTTTATTTCTTTCTCTGTATAAGTGCTAAAGAGTATATATTTTCCTAGCAAGTTGCAAGTGAGAGCGTGCAACTTGGAACTTCTCACGCACGCGGTGGCATTTTGTATCTGTATCTGTATCTGAACGAGCCGCGTACTGTATCTATTGGAGATTGCAGCACGTACAGGCGGTGAATAGTATTCCCCCCGTGGTTCCTGTCTCCAGTCGCCCTTGTTACGCCTCATGTTCCGCATTTGGTTGTGCCGCTATTTCGGGTCATTCCCTCTTTTTTTCCCCCCTTTTTCCTAGCTTTTCCCCCGCTCCTCCTCTTACCAGCTTTCCCAGCATTTTCCCCTGAATGAACGGAACGGAAACCTGCAGCATACGATACGCTTCAGCGAGCGTGCAATTACCACCGCAAAACAGTGCTTCTGGATCCATTCTCCGCCATCAAAATATCAAAAGTTTCCCCCAAATAATCCCCCAGAAATAGTGCAACTCCACTGATTTATGGCCCATTGTATCTGACAGATACAAAACGCTTTTTACCAACACTCGAGGCCTACAAGTGGCTGCCTATTATGATTACTGTGCCTGTTTCTGTTTCGGTTTCTGGCTTTCAGCTGCAGTTTACTGATTACTTTGGACTCTTCACCGTCAGCAATTGAAATCCAAGACTCAACGCCCACAGATTGGACAACAAAAGAGTTGCTCACATTTCATAGACGAGGAGGAGGTCTGAGGCGAGGTAGGTGTTTCAAAATTGTCACCCACTAGCCATTATCCACATGCCACTAGATTAGAGAACAATCCGCGTTCAACTGGCTAAGGAATTTGCCAGCTTTTTCTTTTGTTAACTCAACGCCAGAAGCAATAAAGATGATTTCTTAATAGAATTCATTAAAGCTACCCTAAGGATAGAACCATTTTAATGCTTACAGAGAAAGAAATATGTAGATCTTACAATAAGATTTATCTAGTAATTTAAGTTTATTTTCAAGATTTTGTACCTTTTTTCAAACACATGCTGTTGACATGGCCCAGATCAGTGTATCTATAGATTTGATGACCGATTTCTGATCATATTTTTTTCTCTGTGAGCCAGAATACAAAAAAGATATATATGCAGTTTGCCTTCTGAAAAGATGAAAAACGAGGCAGGAAAACTGCGACGAGCAAATGTGCGAAATAAAAATTTCATAACGTGAAATTAGCGCACATAACTTGAATGCAAATGCAATTTGGGCACGTCGTTGCAACGGACGGAGATGGGGGCTATATGTACATAGGAGCAGGGGGCATGTTGCACCAACTGATGCCGCCGATGACGAGTCGCTGATGGGGATGGCTGGCTGAATTCGGTTCGAGTTGCTTGGCTGCCCATAAACGAAGCAGCAGCTGCAACTCCTTTTTTTCCACCTCTCCATCCGAGGATGCCTCCCCCCCATCCATCGATGGACCCTTTGGTCTTGTTTGTCTCGGACCGAGTAACGGGATTTATAATTAAACATAAGCCCGTCGGATCCGCAGACTCAGCGACTCGCCAAAGGCACGCACTCCACTCCGCCAGAAGACCAATAAGCATTTATGCCAATACGGGTGTGCGTCGGCATCTTCTGGTTTTCCTTGGTAATCCACTTCATATTTTTACAATTTTTTTTTCTTATTTTTTTTTCAGAATGTGTCGCCAAGTTGGCTGCCACCAAACCCCTCCCCCGGTAATCCGCGAATATCGAGAAATGAGAGCGCAAAATAAACAAATCGTAAATCTGTGAAAAATATGTTTTATGACTACGTACATGACCGCGACCACCCAAAAAATATGCCTCACCCAAACCAGGAGTGTGTATCTTGCAGATGCCTAGATACACAGCCGAGTTGTCAGCGCTTTTGGTCTAGAATTTTATGTTTCGGTTCTCTGACTTGCAGTTGTCCAATTAGTTTGAAATGGCTGTGTAAATTCTCCTTCCACTTGTTTGTTTGTTTCTTTTTGCCAGTTTGATGGTTAATCGAGTGAAATGCAATCAAATTTACATTCCCTGCGAAAACTGACAAGTAAACTTTCCCCAAACCCTACCCTAACCCCCGACCAATCAAGTGCCAACCATAATAAATGCCAATAAAAGTTCACATTTAACCCATAAAACTTCGATAGGGGAATTGTTAGCTCGCCTGGTTTCTGGTTCCTGGTTCCCGGCTTTAGTTCCTGGCTTCAGCTCAATTTCAACTTTTATTGAAGTGCCAGAGCTGAGCTCAGGGCCGGGGGTCTGCGGGGCGAAAACAACTACGGAAATCCTCTCGATGACAGGTGTAAGGACAGGTGTGCTGCGCCTGGGAACGGAAAACGATATCGGAAGAGTGAAGAGCTCATAAATTTGCTTATAATAAACTACTTTTAGAATCCAATTAAAAATTGTATTTGCCAATTTCCTTATGACCAGGTAAGGGAACTAAAATTCAACAAATATTATGTCCTACATTTTTAAGGGGTTTTTGAACCCAAGTTACTTCCCTGATTTCTTCATGGATTTATAGGTTTTTTTGAGTACATTTTTGTTTACTATCTCTGCTGTTCTAGTCTGAATGCTAAGCTGGCTGGAAAAATGTAAACAAATTTATGCCAGGGAACCGATTTGGAGGCTCTGCCTTGAAGCACCCGCCAGTCGGTGGCTTTATCTTGAGCCCTAAGACCCCAAATTGCGGCAGTCGGCAGAAACTATGTCATGGCGGAATAACAGATTCCGCACTTTTGGAAAAAGAATATATATATACATGGATTTGTGGTAGATTAGCCCAAGATAAGAGCCTGATAGCGGGGAGGGCTTTGCGTCCATGATGGCCATAAAATTTCGATGCTGATGGCAGCAGCGGAAGCCTCATTATTTGGCTGGGTAATTAGCGTAAATTGGAGTAACATAAGCTGGCTCAAAAGATTGCCAAGTGAATGGTGGACAGAGAGTAATTGTATTAAGCAGCAAATTGAATAATGAAATGAAATAACCAATTAAGAGCCCCAGGAAGTGGCCAAAAAGCCAAATAAAGTGAAACCGCAAGGCAAAAAGCAAAGACATACACATGACACCATCGGCATTAGCTTCAACATCATTGACTAAAAACCTCGGAGGTATACATATAGGGGGGTGTATATGGGGTTACCGGTTTGAGAAACACAGCCAGGCGACAAAAGTTCTCTGTTGCCAAAAAAATTTAAGAACTTGAGAGCGAAAGGGGAGCGCTGAGGCGGAGCTGGAAGGTGTTGCCAAGTTGGATGTGGACGATGTTTGTGTTATGAATTTTTGAATCAGAACCAGTTCGGCAAGTTGCTGGCTAACGCACTAGTAGTAGATTGCAAAAGCCAAAGCCAGAAGCAAACAAAAGCTTAGACACAATGAAAAAGATACATTTGTATCGCAGAGATACCATATACCAGACACCAGAGTGAGACTGGGTGTTGATTTCAATTGTTGTTGACCGTAAAATGGGCTCGAGAAAAGGTGCCAAACTAACCTTGCCGTGCTTAAAATTCATATAAAACCTTAATTTAAATAAAGAGAAACAGCATAAAACAAATTACCATAAAATGCCAAACGTGCCCTAAACTAAACTTGGCCAGCATGTCGCTGACTTTTGAATAACACCAAAAAAACCAGCACATAGCAGAAAAAAAAAAAACACAAATAGCAGAAAACGAGGCGAAGAGAAAAAAATTAGTGCGTGCCTGCAAATGGTTAATGCCACAAGATTGTGCCCCATGGAATTGTGAAGAGTCAACAACTACAATTTACTCTCCCATATGCATACTATATGCTATAGTATATCAAGCATTTCCCGGTACACCAGCTCCATATCTCCATCGCATCAGTCGGAGCTCTTCCTCAAGGAATTTATGATATGAGCCCAAATGAGATATGGTTATGGGCGATGTGTTTGCGTTGTCAACTCCGAAATAGGCAGACATTCGGGCAGACTTTGGGGCCCAAAATGAAGTTAGGTAGTTAAGATATATAACTGGGATAGCGCCACCACCTACGGGTACTTGTCCGCCCCTCCCCCCCTCTTCCATATGCGTATGCAAATGTC